GCCCCGGCTGCGTCCCCGCCAGGCGCCGGGCCTCGGGCAGATGGCGGGAGGAGGGCGCCGGCCTCGGGGCCTTCGCCCTGGGGCTGTCCCCTCCGACGGCAGGGCGGGGCAGAGCAGGGCGGACTCGGGCCGTGGGCGCTGGAGCAGAGGCGCGTGTTCCCGGCCAGCCGGAGCCCTGGGGCCGTGCCGCGACGAGCACGCGGCCCTTGCGTCGGACTCTGCGTCGGGCGAGGCCGGCCCGGCCTGCGGGCTGCCGGCTGCGTTTTGCAGAAGGGCCAGTCCCTACCACGGCCGCTTCTGTTTTCGTTTACTTTCCCCAGTAGCCCGTCGGCTTTTCGTTATTGATTTGTGAGCGCTCTTTGCATAGGAGGCTTCGCCGTCGCGTGTTCTGTCTGCTGTCGATGCACACGACCTCACACGACCACCCGCTCCGTCCTGGGTGGGCTGTGGGCAGGGCGCCCCGGCCCCGTCCTCCCTGAGTAGGGGACGTTATTACCGCGACTTTCGGAGCAGGACACAGAGCCGTGAGCGGCACGTCGGGATCGCGACCTGGGCGGTTCGGCCAGGCGCTCAGAGAACGCGCGCGGGCGCCGGGGATGCGAACGCGCCCTCCCGCCTGGAGGCCGCCAGCGCTAGGGTAGGAGAACCGCAGAGCCACGCGGCGGGGCGGGGCCAGCCGGAGGAAGTGCGGCGCGCGCGCGGAATGCTGGGGCCGGAAGTGGGGCGCACGCTGCGGGTGGATGTCATGGCGGTGGCGCGCGGCCGCAAGAGGTGAGTCGGGGTCTTGGAGCGCGCGGCCTCCAAGCGGGAGGCGGTGGACGAAGGAGCGCTCCGGGGCGGCGGGGCTGGGCGAGCCAGGCTGGGGGCCGTGACTCCGGCGCGGCCCGCAGGCGCCTGGCGGAGTTGACGGTGGACGAGTTTCTGGCCTCCGGCTTCGAGTCCGAGTCCGAGTCCGAGTCCGAGCTCGAAGGAGCCCCGGGAGCCGAGGCGCGGGCGGCGCGCGGAGCGGCACGGAGTCCGCGCGGGCCAGGCGGGAGCCCCCCGACCAGGGGAGCGGGCGACACGCGCGGAGGGCG